GCTGCTCAAACTGAAGATAGCCCATGTTGGCCTGTGACCACACCACGTACTGGCTCCACCTGTGGTCTCCCCTCCCCTCGTTGCGGTTTTGATTGGCTTGTCCCTGATGATTAGTGATGTTGAGTGTCTTTTCCTGTACCTGTTGGCCATTCATATGTCTTTGGGAAAATGTCTATTCAGTCCCTCTGTGCATTTTTTATCAGCTTGTTTTTTTGTTACTGAGTTGTATGAATTATTTATGTATTTTATATATTAATCCCTTATCCAGTATATGATTTGTAAATATTTTCTTCCATTCTGTAGGTTGTCTCTTCATTTTGTTGATAGTTTCTTTTGCTCTGCAGAAGCTTTTTGGTTTGATATAGTTCCACTTGTTGATTTTTGGTTTTGTTGCTTGTGCTTTGGTGTCGTATCCTAAAAAATATTGCAAAGACCAATGTCAGGTACCGTCTTCCCATGTTTTCTTTTAAGAGTTTTATGGTTTCAGGTCTTACATTTAAGTCTTTAATCCATTTCAAGTTAATTTTTTGAGTGGTGTACAGTAAGTCCTCACTTAATGTCATCAGTAGTTTCTTGGAAACTGCAACTTGAAGAGAAACAACATATAATGAAACCAATTTTACCTTAAGCTAATTGCTATAAATGAAGTTCCTATAGTAGTTTTGGTCACAAAAACATCAGCAAACTTCTAAATAAAGACCCCAAACACTTCTAATATTAAACATTGAAATGTTTAATAAATGGATGAGCTATACATACATTTAAGAAAGATGAATAAAAACAAGTAAAATTATTTTCCAATCCACTTATTCCGGTTCAGGGTTGCAGTTGGCTGGAGCCTATCCTGACAGCTTAGAGTGCAAGGCGGGAACCCACCCTGGACAAGGTGCATTCCATCACCGGGCTGCCACAATTCTGACATTACCCATTTGTCCTTGTTACATTCAGAGTTGAGCTCAGTCTCTTTCCCCTCTTGTGATAGTTTTGACCCCTGCCGCTATCGTCTTAAATAAAGTCCTCCTTACCATTTTGACAAGTGTCAGAATAATTTCTCTTTAATAGTATCTCTCTTCTAACATTCTTGGCTTGTTATCAAGTATTTTATTTTTTATGCTATTGTAAATGGAATTTTTCTCTTCCGTTTTTGGATTGTTCATTGCTTATGATTTTTGTATATTGATCTTACATTGTGCAACTTTGTAGAATTCATTTATTAGTCTTAATAGCTTTTTAGTGGATTACTTATGGTTGTCTATATACAGGATCGTACATTCTGAAAATAAAGATAGGTTTAATTCTTCCTTTATAATCTGGATGCCATTCATTCCTTTCTCCTATTCAGTTGCCCTCTCTAGAACCTCCAGTACAATGTCAAATAAAAGTCGTGAGGGTAGACTTCCTTGTCTTATTCCTGATCTTAAGGCGATCTTAGGGAGTCTTCCACAATTAAGTATGATGTTAGCTGTGCTTCTTTTATAGGTGCCCTTTATTAGGTTTAGGAAGTTCCCTTCTATTTCCTGCTCGTTGAGTGTTTTATAATGAACAAGTGTTGGATTTTGTCAAGTGCCTCTTTGCATCTATTGAAATGATCATACATTTTTGTCCTTTATTCTATTAATACAGTATATTAATACAGTATATTACAATCATTGATTTTGGATATTAAAGCAACCTTGCATTTCTAAAATAAATGCCACTTTATCACGGTCTACAATCCTTTTTCTATATTGCTGGATTTATTGTGCTAATATTTTATTGGAGACTTTTTATGCCTATATTCATAAGAGATATCAATCTGTTGTTTTCTTTCCTTGTGATGTTTTGTCTGGTTTTGATACCAGAGTAATACTGGCCTCTTAGGATGAATTGAGAAGTGTTCCCTCATCTTGTATTTTTGGAGGAGTTTGTGAAAAATTAGTATTATTCTTACAATGCTCGGTAGAATTCACCTTTGAAGCCATCTGGGCCTGGGCTTTTCTTTGTGAAAAATTTAAAAATTACTGATTCAATCCCTGTTCTATATTTAATTTGTTGTATGTCTAATTCAGATTTTTCATTTCTTCTTGAATCTGTTTTGGTGGTTTGTGTCTTTCTAGGAATTTATTTCATCTAAGTTATCTAATGTGTTGACATACTTGTATTCATAGTGTTCTCTTAGGATCCTTTTAATTTCTGTGAATTTGATAGTGATTCTTTTAGTAATTTGAATCTTTTCTCTTTTTCCCTTAGTTAGCTTTTTCAGATTTGTCAATTTTTTTCACTTTTTAAATATACTTTTGGTTTTGTTGATTTTTCTCTATTGTTTTTCTGTTCTGTATTTAATTTTGCCTGCCCTAATCTGCATTATTTCCTTCCCTCTGGTGAGAACTCTCTCCTTGGCTTACAGATTGCTGCCTTGTCATGGTGTTCTTGAATGGGGGGTGGGGAGAAAAAGAGAGAGACCTCATGTTCTCGTCTAAACCTAATGATCTCCCGAAGGTCCCATATCCAAATCCCATCACAGTGGTGGTTAAGGCTTCAAGGCTTCAACAGATGAATTTAGTGGCGGAGGGGGTGGGGCACACAAGTCAATCTATAACACTTTCTCTTTAATGTGGGTGTTTAATTTCCTTATATATTCCCTGCTATAAATTTCCTTCCATACACTGCTTTGACTTCATCCCATATGTTTTCCTTCTGTTACTGCTTTCTCATTTCATTCCATTGCTAAGCCCTACAGCCGAGCACCCTCAAAGTAAAATTCTAATCTCTGCTCTTTTTTTCTAATCTCTGCTCTTTTTCCTGTGTATGGGTCACACTTTCCTGTTTGTTTTCATATCTCAATTTTTTGTTGAAAACTGGACATTTTAGATAATATATTGTAGCAACTCTGGATTCTGATTTCCAACCCCCAGAGTTTGTGGTTTGCTTGTTTATTTGTTTAGTGATTGTGCTGTACTTTTTGAAGTCTGTTCTTCCCATAGTGTTCAGCCTATAAGGTCACTTCTCAGAGGGAACAACCTTGGATATGCACACATTCACTCTGAAATGACATGGCTCATTTTGAGTGTCTCTTTTCTTGATCTCCCCATTATGCCTCTAGCTGGTCTGCCTCTGGTGGTATCTCACCCAGCCTTCACTAATTGCAGGCTAATTGCTCTATTTTTTTCCAGTAGTTCCCCAAACATAAATGGCTCCAGTATGAGCTAATTAGACTTGGGCTCCCTTATCTTTGTGGCCCAGTCTTAGATATTTTTTCTGACCTCAGGAGAGTTCTTCTTAGCTGTCTCTTTCCCTGATACTCTGTTCAACTTTTCTCTGGCCTGTGGTTTAACTTGTGGTTCTCATGATGCTACCAGCTACATCTTAATTGCGTATCTCCAAAATCTCTGTTGTTCTTGACAGCACTTTTAGACTTGAATTTCCCCATACCCTGTTCCAAATAAAGTCTGTGCTGTTAAGGAAATCTCTCTTCATAAGGCCTGCCTCTCCCCCTGGGAACAATCTCTGAGCCACTGCTCTAGAGCTATGGATAGGGACAGTGGACTGCTTTTCTTTGAGTGACACGCTTGCTCTACCTATGGAGTGCTGGGTAATCATGGTCTTGGCTTGCCTCTCCCAGCATGGGACCTCTGCTCTATGAATAAGTCCGAGCAGGGGCACTCAGGACCCAGTATTATTCTTGGCTGGCCACTTGAGGTAGAGCTTCTGCCCTATGTGTTGGGGCTAGGTAGAGGAAGTGAGACCCATACCTATCAACTATGCCTTGCTGCAATATAACTTCTGCATCATTTAGCCTCAGATGGGGCAGGGTGGGAGGAGAAATGGTGACGACTTGCCCCAATTTGCCCTGACTTGCCCCTCCTGGGAGAAAGCGTAATCTTTGACTGCGACCTGAGGAGAAAGAGAACCCCCCAGGCTTTACTTGCCAGGAGTAGAGCTTCCATCTCACTGAGCTGAGGTATGGAAGCAGGTAATGGCTTAAATGCCATAGATTCTCACTATTCTGAGAATTAGTTGATTTTCTTGTATAAATATTTTTTTATTTGCTGTATGTCCTTAGGACATTCACAGTTTTCAGAGACTTTAAATATGTTTTTATTGATTTTAGAGAGAGAGGAAGGGAGAGGGAGACAAGAGAGAGAAACATCAATGTAAGAGAGAAACATCAATCAGTTGCCTCCCATACTCACTCTGACCCAGAACTGAACCTGCAACCTGGGCATGTGCCCTGATTGGGAATTGAACCAGTGTCCTCTCAGTGCATGGGGTGATGCTCAACCAACTGAACCACACTGGCCAGGGCTCAGAGACTTTAAATGGTTGCTGTGAATTGTTTGCTACTTTTTATAATTTTTACCAGTTATAGTTGTTTTGTTGGAGAGAGGGTCTGTGGAGCTCCACACACTACAATTCTTGAAGTGTCCAAACCTCACGCATTTTGACAGTTCCTTTTTTTCACTCTTAGAATATACCCTTAACTTAGTGGCTTGGAAACTACATCCCTTGGATCAAATCTCGCTTATTTTTTTCCTTGGAACATAGTCATGCCCATTTGTTTACATATTGTCTATTCTGACAGGAGTTGAGTGATTGCAACTGAGACTATTTGGCCCACAAAGTCTAAAATATTTAGTATCTGGCCCTTTTACAGAAAAAAAAAAAAAAAAAAAAAA